GTTTTTTTTGGGTGTTTTTTTTTTTGTTTTGTTTTTTTTTTTTTTTTTTTTTTTTTTTTTTTTTGGGGGGGGGGGGGGGGCGGAGGTGTTTTATATGGTTAAAGAAATAAATAATAGAATATTAGTGACAATGGAAAGCTTCTGCTTATCTTTGAATTTCAAAAATGTATATAAAAACCAGTTTGGCTGGTTGATTGAAGTCAGACATGTAATAGCATTGTTGGGATACATTTCTTTGACACTTTGTGTTTTGTTTAGTTCATAGAGGAGAAAAACCGTTTTGGTGTCTACACAGTCTAAATTTCTGCCCTCGTCCTACAGATCCAGCCATACGATAAGATCGCAGCCCGGGGTCTGCCGGACAGCGTGGCCGCCAGCCTCAACAAGCTGGTGGTGGTGAAGCTGAACGGAGGTCTGGGTACCAGCATGGGGTGCAAGGGCCCCAAGAGCCTGATCAGCGTCCGCAACGAGAACACCTTCCTGGACCTGACCGTGCAGCAAATCGAGGTGCAAACTCCAAGCAACCACACCACAAACAAAGATTCCCCTCTTAATTCTGTTTCCCTAATATTTTTTGTGGTAGGCTGTCACCATGAAGTGAACATGTACAATTTAAATTGTTGCTGCAATTGGAATAAATTGTAAATGGCAGCATTTTTACTTTGCAGATCTGAAATCAAATCTGCACACCAGCTCTGTTCTGGGATCTTACTAATCTTACTCTATGTTCACACAGTACGCATTTCCAATTTTTTGCTGAACTTCAATGCTTATATATATATTTTTCATACTGAGTAATGTGTCTGTGTGAATAATGGTTTCAAGTGATCCCCCTGTGCAGAAGAAGAAAGTTGAGATTGCATTGTTTGCCAAAGTAATAAAGGATATCGCCGTTTATGGATGGATTTTATTGTTTATTCAGCAATGGGAGCCAACAGTTTTGTTACAAGATCATAACAAAATGAAGGAAGCTATAAAAAGAAAGCACAATTTATAGTGACAGGAATCGAACCTGCGACAGCTGCGTCGAGGACTAAGGCCTCCATATGTGGGTTGTGCTTAACCCCTGCGCCACCACAGCACACCCATAGCAACAGACTTTTGTGGAGCATTGACCGAAGTCTGCTTCGAGTGGTGGGATTGTGACTTTACTGACACAGACTTATTTCATAAGTTCATAATCATAATTTTCTTTCAGCCACTGATTATATCTGTTCTGGTTTCTTCTGGTTAGTAATTATAATGCATGTCATTGACATAAAAGTCGGATTAAACAATCGGACAGGTATCTGACTTTGTGACTCAAATCAGATATTTTTTGCTGTGTGAAAAAGAATACCGGGTTATGTTCAGGTTATGTCTTTCAGTTTTTATGAATGCCAAGTGCCTTCGAAAAAGGACCAGATTAAAATTGGATAAATACACATTAGCTTTAAATCCGTCCAAAAGCTGTAACTTCTAGCAGTGAGACATACTGGTTTTGTGTTTCAAGCTTGTTTTATGATGGAGAAAAAAATTTAAATGTAGCATTTCTTCATGTGGCAACCAGCTGCCAGACTTCAACTCTTTAATCAAGCTTATTTAGCTTTTAAAATAAACACTGCTGAACTGGTGAGTTACACTTCTAAGTGTTTTTCTGCTGCGGATATTGAAATGAGTTCTTTTCAGCTTTTCTCCTAACACTCTTCTGCCATCTTGCAAACATCTGCAGTCACAACACAAGTCTCCTTTGAGGCACAAAAACCAAACCAACGGGATATAGATCCTCATTTTTTTTTTTCTCGAGGAATGATGAATAAGTGCCTTGACGCTATTTCTTTTGTTGCTGCTTTCATCTGAGGTTGTTGCACAACCGTCATATCAGCAGCTCCATCAATAGATGATAAGTTTCCTTCCTGCTGTGGCTGAAACGGGATTTTCAGATATTCCTTCTTTAAGAATCCCCTTAGAGCTAAAGCCCTTTATTTTGTCAAACTGTTAGCTTCAGTAGTTTTGATAGATTCAATTAAATATGTTTAAATTTGTTGTCTGCACAACACTGGGTCATTCCTTTGAGTTCAGTAGCCTTTTTTACAGCTGAAATGGGATTAAAAGTAATTCCTCCACAATGAGCAGGCACTGGTCAAAAAATGAAAAACAGTGTTGAGAAAAACTTCAGATCTATTTCCGTACATTTATGCTAGCCCAAACTTTGCCTCCTGGATTCTTAAGATCTCTTGCAGAGTTTCGTTGTCAGTTTTGACTTCTGTGCTTCTTGTGTAATTGAATCTGCAGAGCCCAAGAGGGTCAGGCCCCCTCAGTACTTTTCTGGCAGCAGTGCATTCTCGTTCTGACATAAAAATGTCACACAACATTGCATATATATGTGTGTGTGTGTGTGTGTGTGTATATATATATATATATATATATATATATATATATGCCACAAGGATATACTAAATAAGGATGACACCACCTGCTGCAACAGGAGAAGGATCTGCAGCTCTTATTGGTTTAAACCAAAACTAATCATGTGAATAGCCAATAAAGCCTGGTGTGTTAATCAGCTGTGAGTTTCCCCTCACACCTTGAAATGTCTCTGATTTACTCTGTAAACAAGCTGAATTTAAACACAAAGTTTACCTTTTTAAAGCCCCCGATCCGAAACCTCTATCCAAAGCGTGGGATCCTTTCTTCCTGACTTCAACTAGTAATTTTTCTCCGAACCAAAAAACCAAAATCTGTGGTTTTTGTCTTTTTTCCCCATTTCATTTCTGGCAACTTGTTCATGACTTGTCAAACGTTATTTCTACTCAAGTAATTAGTAGGAATTAGTAATTAGTAGGAAGCTAACACAGAGAGGTGTGCAGAATTGTCCCCAAAAAATTCCCCTAGTTCATAGCAAAGAAAAAGGTTCAAGTGGAAACGCACTTGAACTTTATGGGGGTGGGGGGACCTTGAGAAAGTCTGAAAGCTACTGATCAAGGTCTCTTTAAAAGATCACAAGTAGATTTCAAAGGAAAACAAAAACTGAGTGAAGATTTAGATTTGTGCAGACCACTGAAGCTGAGCAAAGAGTGTCTCTTATTATCTAACATACCACAAACATCTGCACCAGGTTTTGTTCTGGAAGCATTTGCAAATTTTTCATACAAAGAAAACTTTGTAATGAATCAATTCTATTCAAAGTGAGGAGGGAAAAAAAAGTCCAAAATTAAAACCACATGTATTTGTTGATGACATTGGTTTGTTTCTGCAAGCCTTTATAAAGTCATAAGTGTGTTCCTGTTGGAAGGGAGAGGATTTGTGGAAAGAGTCCAGTACGGTGTGTGTGAGGAGTTGCTGTGTAAGGGGATCTGTTGGTGTGTCGTCTGGCAGGGAAACAGAGACGGCTGTGTGTCTGGTCAGAGAGGAGAGCACAGTTATTTAGGCCCCATCGTGTACCTCAACTTCTGCTGCAGCACTACGCCCAACGCCCGAATGAATGTTCTTTGGAAGTCATACAAACAACAATCACATCTTCCTGCTGCTTTTAGTGGGACCCCGAGCTCCGGCTTCGCCTTGATCTGCGTTGGATAAAAGTGAAGTGTCGAGATTAGATTGTACTCCACTTAGAGTAGCACTACCTTAACATATTTTTACTGTAGTGAAAACGGAAAGTAGCAGTCCAAGAAATTACTCAAGTAAAAAAGTATTTGATAAAAAAAAAAAGCTACTAAAGTATTGAGTAACTGATCAAAACATCCGTCACTTCATATTTAAAAATGACATCAAATGGACAAAATTATAAAGTTACATGTAAATTTTGGTATTTTAATTATCAAAATGGAAATAATTCATATAAATAGTATACATTCAAAATAACAAAATCAGGCAGAACAAAAGTTTTCTGAATCAATTTCTTTTGATACAAAACTTGTGAAACTTTAGCAGAAACTACAGATGTGTGCGTTTGTTGTGTCTGGTGAATTTTTGGTAAAAATAAGCTTATTCTCCTTTCAGTGAAGTTACTCTCAATGAGCAAAGTACATTTGAGCAGACATTTTGCTCAACTAAGAGCAGCGATACTTAAGAATAAAGTTAAACAAGCGAAAGTAAAAGGTACCGCATAGTAAAAATACTCCTAAAACTCGTTTTTTTTTCTTCCAAAAAGTTACTCAAGTAAATGTAACTGAGTAAAAGTAACTAGTTACCAACCACCCAACTCTGTTTCATAAAATACAGTGTAGCACTTATTGAAGGTGGTTTTACAAGAGACTCCTGGGGCTCAGCTCTCCTCTGAGCACACTGCCTCCAGTTTTCTGCCCAGGTCGGGTCAGATTACCTGCAGACTGAATCGGCCTGTTCAGAGAAGAGGAAAACGAATCCCCCGCCACCTCACACACACACACACACACACACACACACACACACACACACACACAGAGGAGCCTGGAAACAACTTCTCCTGTGAGAGAACATTTCACTTAATCACCAGGAAAGTAAAAAAAAAATATTCTTGATCAGGCACATCGGTGTTCAACATTGTATGTTATTTTGAGAATAATTTTAGAGCTAAAACCAGCTCTGACTGCAAACTTGTTCTGTTGTTCGCGGTGAGGCTAATAGGACTTCTGAAGGAGAATGGATCTGATAGTACTGGAGTTCATTAAGGACTGTAGAGTCTTGCAATCACCTGTTATGCACCTCTTTTAAACAATTAGATCTCTGCCAGAAAATGCACTGTAACTGTGTCAGTAATCAATTACAATTTAGGTAGTTTTTCTACACAACAGCCTAAAAGTCTGAATGTATATTATGTAGGAAAAGACTAGAAAAATGCAATCAGATAGGGAAAAAAAATCAAATAGGAAAAAAAAAACTAAACACCTGAACACGTTTATAAACAAAAACATACAAAATGTGAAAATGACTTCCCAATTAATTAAGGGTGGATCAGTTAAAGTGCATAAAAATGGTTTATTTTTTCCCAAGTGATATCTATATTATTGACCTAAGCCATATTCATGGCGGTGGATGGAGTAAAGGTTTTTATCCTAATGTACACCGTGAGAAAATATAAACTATAACTACGGTTATGTAATTAATACCTGTTGTTAGCTTAGTACTATTAATTTCTTATGAGTCTTATCTAATTTACTGGAAGCCTTTTCACTAAAGGACTTTCATATTTGCGGTCCACACAGATGTTTTGTCCTTTGAAACACCAGTGAATGGAAGCAGCTGAAATTCTCAATCTCTACACATGATCAGTTTCCCCTCAAAACCTGTAAGTTGCTTTTCTCAAAACGGCACATCACCGGGTGTTTCGAACAACGAGATCTGCCTCCTTTATGAATTCATCTTCACAAATGTCCAACATGTTTACTACATTAGCAGGATCTCTGGGGAAAATAAGACCACTTCCACTCATCTTCCTCGGTATTGTTGTTTCAGAACTGATGTGGCCATGCATCAGTTTGAAATGTTACTGCTGGAAAGCTCTTTTTTGCCAACCAACCAGTTAGATTTGTGTTGAAAACATGTGACACCTGTGGTCTGCTTTTCCAGACGATACTCCATCATTTATATTTGGCAGTGTGCTTTCTCTCTAATAAGGACGTGTGTCCAAAGGCTCTCCTTGTGTTTCTAAGGATTTTGGCTTCAAATAATCCTGAAAACAAAACTGATTTAAGATCACAAAACTGAGACTTAAAGTGTCCAGTTTCTAGAGACGGCCTTTAACCTCTCTGCTGTGTTTGCCTCCACGCACGCCCACTGTCAACAAACTGCAGAGCAAAGCTGTAATTCGAGCCTTTGTTTCACATATTTGCGGAACATTTTGAATTGTTTGTGCACAGAGGAGGACCACGACACTTACACAAAACTCCACAGAAAGATGAACAGTTCTCCCACTTATTACGTTTATAGACGTCGGACATGGTGAGACGCTCTTAGGTAGTCAACGCCCGTCTCTGACGGGATCAAAATCCAGCTTCTCCCATATGATTCATATCTTGCATCTGTTTCTGCCTCCATTAGTCATCTGAAGTTTCCTCCCCCAGAGATTTCAACAGATTTTTTTTTTGCTTGATTGTATTTGTAAAGTCTTTGTTGTTTAACCACAAATGAAGAAATGGCTTTGTTTTGGCATTTTGGAGTTCAGTCATACAGTGCTTTGTCAATTTGCCTTTGGGGGAAAAAACTCAAGGAGTTTAATTCATTTTCAGTTTAATTTAAATTCTGATTATTTTTTTCTTTACATACTTAACATCATACTATAAAACCAAACAGAATTTCTCAGAGATCTATGATAGAAAAATCATCAGATATACTCATAACAGAAAACACAAATGGATAAAACACTCTCTAAGAAGTATCTTCATTGTGTTCAGTTTGAACACCAGATTGTCTCTGGATTTTTGACTTTCTTAATGTACATCTAGTTATAAAGCATATGAATGAATCACAAGTTCACACTGTGAACAGCTGTGGACCGAGCACACAGCCTTGAGGGGTACCAGTACTAAGTGTGATGGAGCCAGTGATGTTTTTCCAATGCGGACTAACAGCAGTCCCAGTAAGGAAGTTCAGAAAGCAGCCTTCAGGCAAAGAAGAAGAAGAAGTTTCTCTATTAGTTTCTCTTGTTAAACGTTGAGCTAAAATCTGAGGACAGGATTCTGGGATATGATGGGTGTTGAAACTTCTGTTATTCACTGATAAGTGAAATGGTATGGATCTAATAATAGAATAGAATAGAAACGCCCTTTATTGTCACACAACGGGGAAATTCCTAGATATTGTTTTGTTGTAATATCATTTTTATCAGTCTGTACTGGGGATTTTTATGTGATGATTATGTGAAATTTTCCTTCTTTACTAGATAAATATAATAGTAACAGTAGTGTCTGTTTGTGTGTGTGTGTTTTTCTCTTTAAATCACCAATAGCACCTGAACAAGACGTACAACACTGATGTTCCACTGGTCCTCATGAACTCCTTCAACACAGATGAAGATACTAAGAAAATTCTGCAGAAGTACACACACCACCGGGTCAAGATCCACACCTTCAATCAGAGCAGGTGAGACCACAACATCTGGAAGCTGGTTAGTATTTTAAATGGCATCTTAGGAAAAGTACCGGCTCTCTCACTGTCAACCACCAGGTGATGGAAAACAGTATCATTTAGTCTGTTAAGAACCCCCCTGGGCGCTACCTGCTATCTGTGTTCATGAATACATGCCATCAGGAATAGACTGTACATGTTTTTGTAACATGTGGAAGAACCTGTTTGTGATTAATGCCACGCTGTCTCCAGTTCGTCAGCCAAGTGGAACTTTCATTTTCCAGTTGTGATTCTATTATTCATCAGCTCCGCATGCCTTAGGGAGGCTGGGTCAACGCTTTTTCTGGGGCAGCAGCAACACTAGCTGGAGGATTTAATGTCAAAGAAGCTGAGCAGTTTTAAAAGTGATTTTCAATGTGAGAACAAAGAAACGCTGAGGCCATTACGGTAATTCCTAAAAATCCAATTACAGTCATTGTTCACTGGCACATGGAGAGAAAACAATCAGCTTTAAACACCAAACACAGCCATGAGTTATTCACCCACCTTCATTATGTTTTGACTTAAGGAAAGCTCAGACATGCATTCAAAAGTCTGGCTATGTCTTTAACAGACTTTTTAAACCTTATTTCAGGAAAAAAAAAAAAAAAAAACTGGAAAAAAAGAACTGATTTACACCGAAACAATGGTTGGGTCACAATAAATAAAGACAAAATAATAATAACATTGTTAACATTATACACTGTCTTAGCATCTGATGACAGCAATACAAACAGTTAGCTTGCCTAGCAATGCAAAAACTATCACCCCATCAATCCTCACCATAACTTAGCTCTACTGTACATTTTGCTCTCTCTCGCTCTCTCCCAACCTCAGTGAACCACAGGAATGTCTAGACATGCATAAAATAAAGCTTCCTCTTAAATAGCTTCTTCCTCTGACTCCATTTTTTTTTAAATGCCTTAAATGTATACTCCCTATGTCTCTTTCTCCCACCTTAGATTGCTCTCCTGAGCTTTTGTCCTGTGTTGCCTTGTTAAGAAGCAAAAATTAATGAACATATCACTCAAAAATATATAAATCACCTGACTTTGGTCACTAGCCTAAGAGGCTTTATCAGGCTGCAGTAATCTGATCAAGTCATAGTTATAGACTTTCTGTCAATCTGTGTGATGTATATATATATATATATATATATATATATATATATATATATATATATATATATATATATATATAATTTTACTTGGGGGTGGGCGGGAGACTTGTGGCTCAGTGAGAAGAGTAGTTGTCTTAACAATTAAAGAGTTGTGAGTTTGATTCAAGTAAGCAACATGTCAGTTAAAATGACTTATTGCCATATTTTTAACTTCTCAGCCCTCAAAGAGGTCTCAGTTTCTTCTTGGACAACTGTTCCACCTTCAGGGGAAGCAGGAGGTTTAAGTGTCTGAGCTCATATCAAAACGATCATCAGAATCAGAACTTGAATTAATCCCACTTTAACAAGACCATGAGCCCACTGCGCAGTAAGTCTTTTCTCCCAAGTAGCTCATCTGCCAGTTCACATTTAGTCCAGCTCCTCGTGAGGATTGTTAATCCTTCATAAAAACGCTTTGATCTGTCTAATTCTCACATGGATGATGGTTTTTGTACCTCACCTGTCTTCTTGATAAAACCTTAAAAACAAATTTGAAAAGATTCCTCCAGGTCACACTGGGATAGTCAGTTTGAGTAAAGACAAAAGCAATATTTATAAGGATTTTATGGATAAATCCCAGTCATATCTAGGGCTGCAAAGAATGATGATTTTAGTCATCATTCCATCAATTATTCTGATCACTAATCGATTAATTGGATTTTTAAAAATGATGTTTTGTGTAGTTTTTCATTAAACCACTCAAGCTGTTTTTAGGCCGTATTAGAAATACATTAAAAGATTCAAATAAACAAATAATACAATTCCAGAAAATAAGCTAATCAGCCACTAATTAGTTTGATGATTATTTCAATCATCGATTAATCATGATTAATCAAATTAATTGTTTCGGATTAGCATCCCGTTAGTGACTACTTGACCATTTGAAGCAAAAACTGCTAAAATTAGGATCCCCTAACTGATCGTCTCATCTCTGTGCTTGTCCGTCCAGGTACCCCCGCATACACAAAGAGTCTCTCCTCCCCGTGGCTGCAAACCTGAGCATGACGGGCCAAAACGCCGACGGCTGGTATCCTCCCGGTCACGGCGACATCTACGCCAGCTTCTACAACTCCGGCCTGCTGGACAAGCTCATCGCGCAGGGAAAGGAGTACATCTTTGTGTCCAACATCGACAACCTGGGAGCCACTGTTGACCTGCACATCCTGCACCACCTGGTCAGCCAGCCCAACGGCAAGCGCTGCGAGTTTGTCATGGAGGTTACGGATAAGACGCGTGCTGACGTCAAGGTAGGCCCTGGAGGACGAGGACACTTCGACGTGAAACTCACATTGGGCTAAAATGATTAATTGATTAATCAAATGCCTTTAATCGATCACTGAAAAAATTGTCTAATAATTTAGTAATTGATTAATCGTTAACTTTAGCATACAGATTAATAAAGGCCATTTGCTGAAAGAACAACACCCTCAGATGAGTAATTAAGCCAAAACTGCACAAAAAGATTTATGCATTTTGCATTTAAGATAAAAAAAAAAAAACAACCTCCTTGTCTGTAAATCTGTTCTACCCAGAACTCCTCCAGTTGTATAGTTTTAACTTCACCTGGTTCAAATTCTGTAAAAAAAAAAAAAATTTGTAAAAAATGAATTTTAGGCACCTTTTGCTGTCCAATTATTAACTAATAAATAATCAACAAGTTAGAAGACAGAATTTTTTTCGATACAAATTAATGCTTTGCTACAAAAGTTTCAAAAGCTATACTAAAGGAATGCTATTTTGTTGCATTTGAGGCAGTAGAAATATGAATATGAATTTCTAATATTGTGTAAAAAAAACGACATAAATGGTTACATGAAAAATCTGCAGGATGTATTGATTAATCGATTAATTGTCAGTATAGCTGATAACTGAAACAATCATTAGTCACAGCTCTAATCTCATAATTTTGCCTAATAATCATTTTAAAGACAACAGATATAATGTATGAAGTAAAATTGTTGATTTTTTTTTTGTATTGTTTTTTCCCAGGGAGGCACCCTAATCCAGTATGAAGGAAAGCTCCGCCTCCTCGAGATCGCCCAGGTGCCCAAAGCTCATGTGGACGAATTCAAGTCGGTTTCAAAGTTCAAGATCTTCAATACCAACAACCTCTGGATCTCTCTGCCTGCCATCAAGAGGCTGCAGGAGCAGAACGCCATGGACATGGAGATCATTGTCAACCCCAAGGTGAGCGAGGCGGAGATGAAACAGCCTCTGCTAACTCTGCTCTGATTGGTGTCATCATGGTTTTCTTTTTGTAAACATACTAAGCAAAAATGATGGAGAATTTTCCAAATATCACCTTCAGATAAAGAGATATGTGGGTGAAAAGAGATTAGCTTTTATGCTGTTGCTCAGCAAGAAACCTCATCAGTTTCTGTTTGTCCTCATTTCTTTGCTTAAGATAAATTGAAGGTATGTGGTATGACATCCGTGTAATATTCCACGGCCTGTTCAAAGATAGCCATCGCCATTGTGACCAAGTTTGGAAAATAAACAGTTCAGGTGAAAGGCTCTTCCCTGGAAAATTCATTTAGTTTGACCTCACCCATCCTCAAAACTTGAAGGGTGCAAAAGACGCACCTCGCAAAAAATAAATGTAGAAAAAATGAATGCTTTGTTTTTTTGTTCATTTAGGATGGAAATTCTCAATTTATATTTTTTCCCAAATCACCAATGCACAACTACACATCTAGCTATGCTAATAAAAGCATCCAACAGAAGCATTTTTTAATTTATTCATGTATTTAAAGATCATTTTGGACAGATTTATTCCCACCCTTATCTTGGTATATGCCTTGTTGCCTAGAAACAGTGAGGCCGCTAAATAAAACCTGATGGAAATAAAGATTGAAATCTTGTTGAGCTTTTTTAAAACTTTAGTCCTTTTAATGAATTAAATTAATGTATTGATCAAATAAATACATTTTCTTCACAAAAGTAAGATTACAGGACATGTCTATGCAAATAACAAAATCCAGTTTACGTTTTTAATTTTTGTACCCCCAGATTTTACTCAGCTTATATTTAAAACTGTTCTCCTTTCCCGAACATGCATGTTTAAGTAAAGGAAAGTGTTTGTAGGTCTTCATAAGTCACTAAGCTTGCACATGTATGCAGTCAGAACAATATTTTAAAATGTTTAAGGCAACTGGAACTGTGACAAACGACACAAATCCCTTTTTTTCTTTCTCATAAAGAAGATGGTGAGGAAGGCAGAGGTGGACAGAGTAGCCAGAAATTGTACTCAAGTAGCGATACTTCATAATATTGTTACTCAAGTAGAAGAACAGTGTACAGTGTAGTAACCCTACTCCTAAATTCAGAAGTTGTTGCAATTCTAACAGAAAATTCCTATTTCTTTCTTTTTGGAAATACCTGCTTATTTCTGCTGTGAGTTTAAACTGTGCAAACAGAAAGTCCAACTTTAAAGCTGGGTTTTAGTTTGGCTGCTGCCTTGGAGCTAGATTAAACCTTCGCTCCCTCGCCCATCCTTCACTGAGCAGACAACCACTTCAGGATATAACAGTAATAAATTCACACTGAAGCCCTGCTTCGCTGTTGATTGCTGCTGCCTCTGCCCGAGCAGAATATACAGATGTAATCCTCATTACGCGACGGAGCTCGCGCTGTGATAAAGTTGTGTGTTATGTAAGAGGCAATAAGTGAGCGGGAGCTTTTTGGCTCCCCCAGAGCCAGACAACTCGGTTTCTGGTGCCGCCATCATGCATGGTAAAATCAGGCGCAGGTTTGATGCTCAAGGACCTGAAATTGTGGATGTTGTGTAAGAGGCCTCTCATCGGCGTCTGCCCGAGTCTCCTGTTGTTACATTTGTATGTGTTACATCACAGAAGCCTTTCACAGGGTAATTTTAGCTCATTATGAACCCCTCTGCAGCTGGAAGTTGCTTCACTTTTTAAACTCCAACCTCGTCAGCGGCTCGGTGCTTTCATCAGGTCTAGATGAGGCGGGCAGAAATATCTGCTCATGTTTCCGTCTGAGGTCTCAGGAAGCAATTTCTTAATGCATTTACAGCAGGCAGGGTGTCCATGCAGCCTGAAAAAAGACTTCAATTCATGCATCTAAAATGAAGGCCTTAAAATTTCTTAGATTCCTTGAAAAACAATTAATCTAAGAAGTGTTTTTCAATTAATTAGTCATTATTTAGTGTTGCCTAATGTTGCCATGCTGTAGAGTACATTACATATTTATCTTCTTTGGAAAGCACACCCTGAACAGTAGACTGGACTTTGGCACGCAGTTAGTTCTACTTAGTGGTTATATGCTAATCCTCTGCACACAAAAGGTCATTGGAGTATGATCCAAAAGTGTGTGCGTGTGCGTGTGCGTGTGTGTGTGTGTGTTGGTTCAGGTGTGCAGCTATTGCAACAGATCTACTGATAGTTGAAAACCTGGAAGGTACATTTGTGCTCCGATCTAAAATTCAATAAAACTTACTAAAACTGTCACGTAGATTAACTAGTAGGTTCCTAGTTTCAGTTCAAACACAGTAAGTGACTGATAGAAGCTTAAACACAAGTAACTCTTAACAGCTCCAGGATGGGAGCTAACTGTAACCGTGGTGACGAGGTCCAGTGGGGAAAAAAACGACAAGTTAAAAACACATTCAATTTATTTCAGTCACTTCATTTCTCCCTCTCCCCGTCACCCTCAGACGCTCGACGGAGGGCTGAACGTCGTCCAGCTGGAGACGGCGGTTGGCGCGGCGATCAAATGCTTCGACAACGCGATGGGAATAAACGTCCCCCGCAGCCGCTTCCTCCCTGTCAAAACCACGTCGGACCTGCTGCTGGTCATGTCCAACCTGTACAGCCTGGAGGCCGGCTCCCTCACCATGAGCCCCAAGAGAGAGTTCCCCACCACGCCGCACGTCAAGCTGGGCAGCTCCTTCACCAAGGTGGGACCTGGGAGCACGGCTGGCGTCGGTCATGTGACATGTTCACACCGTTAAATATTTGATATTGCGCTTTTTAGCTGTTTTATTGGAACCTCTGCACTGTGCTGGTTAATCATTCTTACATCATAAATATGATACTTACGGGTCAATAAGTGATGTGACCCACTGCCTGATAAAGACGAGGCCCAGATAAAGTAAGCCTGTTGTTGTGTTTAGGTTCAGGAGTACCTGACCCGCTTTGAGAGCATCCCCGACATGCTGGAGCTGGACCACCTGACCGTCTCTGGAGACGTCACGTTTGGGAAAAACGTGTCGCTGAAGGTAAATCCTGCGAGGGTCAAAAATGTTTCACACGTGAGTCGACGGCTTCGAACTCGAAGACTCGAATTTTTGTGGATTTTATTTTAGGTGTATAAAGTAGAGGAGGTGCCAGTGCAACGATTGCATATATTTTTAAGCTGATCACCGATTTTTAAAAAGCCTGACCCGCCAATTCTATTTTGGCCAATCTCTGATAAAATTTGCCAAATATATCAAGAAAGTTGCTAGGTTGCCAACAGTTGTGTGATTGTTGTTAGGTGTGACTGGCGGGCGGGTCACACCTAACCCCTCAGAATAGCTGAGTCGCAGCTATTATAGTTTTGCAAATGTTTCCCTGACCTCCCGCCTGCTCCTTAAGGAGCCTGGAACTCATCATCGCTGTCTTCCTCGCCGATTAAGCCTGTTGATCGGCGGGCTTCCAAGATTAAGGAAATCGGTGCAGATTTATTGGCTGGACGATTTTTCGGTGCAGCCGAAAAGCAGGGAAATACCAATGCATGACACACTTTTCAGATTTTAACTTGTGAAAGATTTTCTACTTTATTTTGATGAATCACATAAAATCCTAAGTAATAAAAAAAGTTTGTGTCAAAAAAGTCTGCAAAAGTTAAAATAGTTTGAAAATATTCAAGCCACTTCATCTACTTATGTCTACATATTTGTGTTCATTCAAATAATATGATTCAGAGAAGCTAGAAATTCCTCTCTCATTCTAACTGCTGGAACCGGTTCTGCCGTCTATCTTTGAGTCGCAGCTATTCTAGTTTTGCAAATGTTTCCATGACCTCTTGCCTGCTCCTTAAGGAGCCTGGAACTCATCATCGCTGTCTTCCTCGTCTTCCCAGGGCACCGTCATCATCATTGCCAACCACGGCGATCGGATCGATATTCCGGCCGGCTCCATGCTGGAAAACAAAATAGTGTCCGGCAACCTCAGAATCCTGGATCACTGAGGCCTTTTCCCAGCCGTGTCGCCGCCCCCTTCACTGTGCAGCCCTGATCATGTGACGTGTCCTCAACCCGCTTGACCTGTTTAGCCACTAAGAAACACAGAGGATTTCTCTTCTCTGGAGGTTGAAACTGGGCTCTTCTGCCCTCTGCTGGCTGAATAATATATAACCATTAGGAAGTGTTAATAAATTAGTCCTAACTGCGACCTTAATAAGCCTGATTTATAGATTAACAAAAACACCTAACTAATGCAACTTAAAAAAAAAATGGATTACATTTTTTAATCTGTAGCTACGAGATTCAATGATGGCACTAAAAATATTAAATATTAAGTGATATTGGCTCTTAGCAGTGGCGATGCAGAACTAATGCAGAAGTCAGGACAGCTTAAATATGGAGACGTTTTAAAAATTAATCACAAGAAACGCAACGCATCCACGGCTCAATGAAACTCGTTTTGTGGGATTCAAGAACACGCACTTAAATGCAACATGCCAAAACTTTCATAATTCAAGTTCAGTCACATCTCAGAGTTTACATGTTTTACCTGGGATGATAGAATTTTATGTAATCTTGTTGAAAATGTAACACTCGCGTGCTGAAAAATAACCTAAACCCAGATTGAGTTTGGTAAAAATTTTGAAAATAAGTGAATTTTTACTGTTTACGAAAAATCCACCGTTTTGAAATCAGATCGATCTTTATGGACCAGAGGTTTTGAAGGAATTCAGGAATGTTTACTTCACCCGTTGCAGAAACGTTAAAAAGTTTCAGACACAGTGTCAAAAGAAGCTAAAAGAATGTGTAAAGCCGAGTTGAAGAGCAAGTCGTGATTCTTCACTGTATTCATTTCACCCATGCAGGTTCTCATTCAGCTTCATTGAAATGCAAAATCTATAATCAGAGCAGCTTTCAATCTAACAAAGGTACATTTTTGAGAGTGTGGAGCCACCAAATAACCCTGAGGTGATAAAGTTGTGCTGGCCGATAAGTTGATTGTCTCTGAAAACCATGAAAACTGTGAGAGACCTTTCTCCTTAAGGTCAATCCATTGCAGACGTTCAGTTTCCAACAGAACTGTCTCGAATTGAAGCTTATGCCATGTTTTCATGTTCTTACAGCAGAAAACCTGACAGGACCAACATTCAGGCATGTTGTAGCTTTATGTGTTTGTAGAAACGTGTGTCAGTTTCAGTGGAAAGCCATTACTTTACCCCTATGAGATTAAACAAAAGGCATTCTTTGTGTTTGATTGTAGCATGTCATGTCGTCTGAAGCCTCTTCGTCCATCCAACTCATCCAGTGCTGTTTCTGTATGTGCAGTATTTCCTGTTGCTTTGGTTTACACACAAAATAGTTTTTTTTATTCATTTTCAAACCATGTACACCAAGTTCTTTCACTTTTTTTGCGTGGTAATACTTGACACGGGTTTGGCTGGTGCATACAAGGAGCAATAAGTGTTGATCTGTGACAGCAACAACGTTCCCAGCCCAGTTCTGCCTCCTCAGAGCTGAATAAAGTGCAATATGAAGTACCGAACACGCAGTCTGTGGTCTGTTCATCTAGAATCCTCGTTTTTTTCTTAACAGGGATGTAGTTCAAAGGAAAGTGGGAATGTTAAGGATTTCAGCTTTAAATTAATGTTCAGAAACAGGTTTAAGTTAAATTTAAGAAGTAAAAAATTGGGGTGTTCGCACAACCTTAAAAAGTCTTAAATTCATATGTCTAAAGTTATGGCCTTAAAATGTCTTTTATCCATTGAAGAACAAGTTGGCCTTAGTTACGTTAATCACAAGTCTTAAGTTTTGTTGTGGTGGGATTCTAATCTCATATATTCTATGTAGTTTTCATTTTTCTTGTGGGACTTTACTGTTACGCAAAACTTTGGTAGCTAGCTAAGAAGGGTAAAACTAGATAACTTTTTCCACAGATAAGTGCAGATTTTTTGTCATTTGCCTGGATGGTGTTTGTCTTAGCCAGTGGCTCACTTCTCGTTCATAATGGCCTTACAAAGTCTTAAAACTTGGTGAAAACTTCAGAAATCCTGAAAAGTTGTTTTGACCAAAAATGTGTTTTTTTTTTGTTTTTTTTTTTACAGAAATGTTTTGTCTAGATGCTTTTCAGATCATCAAACAAACGATATAACCTGACCAAATACAAAACATATCCAAACCAAACTACCCTGATTATTTCTGCATTATGTGTTTTTGATAACTGGTAATGGGTTGTGTTGCTAAGGAGAGATTTCGGGCCACACTCAATTGAGCAGAGGGTTTAAAGACAAGTGCAGACTTTGAGTAGGCCACTTTAAAAAAACCCTATTTTGTTTATTGTTTGTTTGAGCCAGTAAGACGCAGGTTTGCCAGTGAGCTTATAGATAAGCCAACTTTCTATAAAGTTGGCTTATCTATAAGCCAACTTATGGCTTATAGATAAGCCATAAGTTATCTATGACTTTGCTTTAGGTCATAAAGCAAAGTCTAGAAGCAGCTGGAAAGCGTCACTAGCCACCATCATATTTGCATGATAAACTTTTTTTTTTACTCTGAAATTCTGTTAGTTTTACTAGACATTATTACGTAAAGTTCCACTTTTTCCTCTTTTTTTCATCTCTAGAGAATTTTTGGGACACATGAAATAGACCTTTGTGTTCTTTTTGGTCTTATAAATCTTCCATGGATGCTATTTTTGCTCTGTCTCTTTCCGTATGGTTGAATCATCAGCTCCATTCATTATAAAAAAAGAAAAATATCACCAAGTGGTGGAAGTAGAACCAACTCCCCCATCGTTGGCTGGCATCCAAGTGAAACTCAACACAACTAAATGTCACTTTTACACTTTATTGTTTAAAGTTGATACAAAAAAGTGTTTGCTGGAAACATTCTTTGATTTTGCCTTTTACAAGCACAAAGACAGGAGGAGAGGTAAGTAAAAGATGGAGGGATGAACTGGTGTTTGAGTCAAAACAGGGCTGAGAGAACAGAAGACAGACAGAGGGAAGCCCTTTATTCACACAGAGTCCATGAAACAAGACCAAACAAGACTGAGTGAAGGAGAGGACAGAAGCTTCGTCTTTTTTTTCTTCCTTTTTTTAAGGTGATGTATCCTCAGATGGCTGTAGCATAGGGTGTGCAAGAGTGTGCACGGGTCATCGGTTTCTCCCTGAGGTGAGTTAGTGTGTCGCGGTCTGAGGATACGAGGAGAGCTACTGCGTGGACAGAAACTGAACACATACAATCAACCCGTTAAATTACAATCTCTCTCTTTCTTGCATACAAACACAGAACGACCGATTACCTGCGAGGGTTCGGACTTCGCGAGGACCTGAAGGATGGAAGAGACGCTTCAGTTTTGTCTACAGCTTCAGTGTCTCGCTAATGTAGGTCGCACCAACGCGTGCGAGGCAGTAGGAGTTTGGGAGAATCTGTGCTTTTATTTTTATAATAAAAGAAAAAGTGACATCAGGACTGCCTCAGTTAAATCTATTCCCAGTTTCTCAGGTAGGAGGGTGGATGCATAGTTCAACTAGAAAATTTCTGGTGAGCAGTGGGAATTTTATTAAGGTACAGCAAGTTAAGGTTCAAAAAATTTTCATCAACTCATTCCTTTAATGTAATGTCTTTTAATGATTTACTTGAGAAAGTATCAGTCTGCTGGATGGGGGAAATCTATCACATTTCTACCTTGCTCATAAGAAAGAAAGTCAGATGTTGTGGATCTACTAACGGTTGCACAAAAGCTAGTCATGGTGTTAAAATCCTCCCGCTGTCTTAAGAGATGGGGATAATTTGGACGTCACGAGTTTTTTACTCTGTGCGTGGTCCAGGTGTCTTTGTGTGTGGTTTCGGGAATTGACGGTCTGACGGGACAACCCCCTGCTTCCCCGCTGTCTGACTGTCACATTTGCCCCGTTTCTCCTGAGTCTCGTGCTTAAACCACAGGAGAGTTAACCTAAAAAAGTGCCACCCATCTTAAGGACATTTTAAAAGTAGAAGTGGCATACAGAAAACAGCATGTCCGTAAAGCAGCAGACTTCAGGCTAGTTTCTAAAAGCAACCAGCTTGACAAATTAAACTAATATCAATCTTGCTATTCATGTGTTACTATATAAAGAATAATACAGTCTAACTGTCTATGCAGAAAACATAAAAATGGCTACTCTATTTACTTGTGTTTATTCTTCATTCTCCTTTAAATCTAAGTTTCATACATTAAATAATACTGTACATTGATGTACAAATCAATATGTTATTTTATCAGCAGTATGAGTAATGTTTGCTTTTGTGGCGTATATATAAAAAAACCTATTCTTTTTGTAAAAATTTTGGGGAAATTCCATAACACTTTTGCTTTTTTTTACTAAATCATATTATATGTGGAGTATCTCATATCGTCTTGATCTAAAAAAAAATAAAAATGCATTGATGTTCTCATTAAACATTTACGAGAACCATTTCAGTGAAAAGAAAAGAACAGGCAGCCCTGATAATCTGTGCCTCATAGAAAATCACACGAAGATGATGCCTGAAAAGCACAAATTGTCACAAAGACCTGTGGGAAAAAAAATCAACGCACGTCTCCACCTGTGGCAGCTGCGGCTCACGAATCAGATGAGTCAAATCCTTTGTGCTGTGATGATTATTCAATCAAAGTAGAAATGTGCCGATCAATTAGCCAGAGATCAGAATTGGAAGATTTTTCTCTGATCGATGGTCAGTAGTTCAAACAGAGAAAAATTACTTTTCCTCTTTTTCCAAGTGTTTTAAAATTAAGAAGCCATTTTAGTCTATAAATGTATCAGCTACAAAGAAGAACTTGATGCACTTTTTGAGTTTACAATCAATCCGCTAAACACTGCACTTTAATACATATGTAGGAACAATCTGGTAATTTTCTGTTGGCCACAATTAAACAATATGTGGTACTTTTTTTTTTCTTTTCTAAAAATACAGCTTGTCAAAACTGGAATAGGCAGATCAGACTTGGTATCAACCAGCATACGTCTGATTGGTGCATCTCTGAACCAAATGTAGGAGAAAATGACTCTAAATTGCCTCAGTTTGATTCATCACAATGGCAAGCCCCATATTAGGTGTGTGTGTGTGTGTGTGTGTGTGTGTGTGTGTGTGTGTGTGTGTGTGTGTGTGTGTGTGTGTGTGTGTGTGTGTGTGTGTGTGTTTGAAAAGCCACCAGCAGGGGGCACTGTTACTCTTGGAGGCACCAAGAAGCAATTTGAGATCCTGGCGGTTTCTGACTATACTGGTTGGTATCTGACACAGACCTTCACTAACGTCACAGCAGCCACGCAGACTGAATTAAGACGCTATCCACATCTGTTAAACATCAGTACCACGAGTTCCTGTCTGGGAGCTCCTCTATGTTTAAAATAAAATAAGAACAAACAACAGTTCAGCTTAGAGTGCGAGTCCACGGCTACATAATTGCGTTTTGTTTTTATGGCTAACAGGTGATCGGGACGAAGTCACTCGTTAAAGGGAGGGCGGCGGCCGAGCAGGCATCGAAAAACATGCCTCCGTTTAATGCTTGAGGAGGTTTCTATTGCTCTGCAAGTGAAACGTCTGAGAAGGTAACCGATGAGAGCGAACACTAGGACACAAGGTGTATAAATACATTGAATGGCTTCGACAGGTGAATATGGACAAAGAGAGAGAGTGAGAGAGAGAGAGTGAGAGAGAGAAAGAGAGAGAGAGAATACACAGAACGAAACTCCTGGAACTCCAAAAACTTCATGTGTGTTTAACAAATACGCTGGATTTTCAAAGAAAATTACTTATGGATGAGGGATAAAGGTTGAAGCAACATCCTGGGTCATAAATAAACACATTTCTTTAAATAGGCTCTGAGAGATGTACACGTGTATTGCAACAAATACATGAATAAAAACCACTAACGGCGTGTCAGTACGTCAGATAAATACTGTTGAAAGTTCTCCCCGTGACACAAAGTTTTACCCAGCAGTGTTCTTTGTTTGTTTTTGTTTTTTTGTGTCTCTGGTTTCATGAAAATATAGAAATCTGTTTGTCATTCATGAAAAAAGCAATACAAAGGTCACTTAAAAAGGAGTCAGAGGCAAAAGGTCCAGAGAGAAAAAAATCAGTAGGGAACTCTCGTCCCATCTGGATCCTCTGAAGCATGCCGAGGAGTTTCCCCCGCCGCTAGTCGAGGGGTCCCTGGAAGATGAGTCTGATGTAGCCCTGCTCACCGCTCAGCTGCTGGGCGCAGAAGGGACAGGCGGCGTGGAAGGTGTGGGTGCCGTGTGGGAGCGGGATCTGGCTCCAGAAGGTTGCCGTTTTCTCCGAGCAGACGTGTCCGCAGGGGCTGAAGGTGTGTGTGGGCGGAGCGGCATCGACATAGAAGCCCGCCTCGCAGCCCAGCCACAGCGGCACGTAGGGGCCCTTCGCCCGGCACATGGGGCACTCCCGCAGCCGGCCCTCTCGGCCCTCCCTCTCCTCACGGTGGTTCCCCCAGTTGTGGTAGCCGTGCACGTGGCCACACTGCAGGTATACCCAGGGCTGCTT